CAGAAAGGAAATCCAGTAGCCAATAGCACAGAGTCTGATCAATACCCTTCTCTGCAAACTTTTAAAAAAGCTTGAGAGGGGTGATCATCTTAAAAGCAGAACTATGGCCATTAAAAAGGATCCAAGCATATGTGCTGGGTGCTTTTAGATGTTGAAATGTATCATGGAGCCCCAGGGAAAGGGCATCAGGCACTGAACTTTTTGTTCTGTAACAAAACTGACTTGGGCCCAAGTGTACGTTAGACAGGAAATTGGTTATAAGTCACTCAGAAAAATGTCATAATAACAAATGTCAAGGACACCAATCTGTAGTTGTTGAGGCAGCTCACAATGAATTTCTGAGATACTGGTATTATAGTAGCCATTTTAAAACAGTATGATACCTTATCCTGCTTAAGGGATACATTGAAAATATCTGTAAACACAGGAGCAAGCTGTGTGGCATGAGATTTCGTCATAGCTGTTGATACAAGGTCGGGCCCAGATGCTTTCCTGCTGTTCTGCTTGCAGAAATATCATCTTACATCATGCTCCTGAATGATAAAGGGTGGCTGGAGGGGCCACACTGGCTGTCTACAGCAGTCTGCTGCAGGTTGTTTTGTATGTTGAACCTGTAGTAGAATTTCACACCAGGCTTCCTTAAACATGCTCCAGTCTGAGGTATCAAACAATCCCTTAGCACTTTCACAGTCTCAGCTGACCACTGTGTTACACTTCTTATGGCTGGTTTACGTTCTTTGAATCTCTGTTTGTGTCTTGGGACAAGAAATACTGTATATTAACACCTGACTGGCAGAGAGGGGTGCAGACTAGTGCTCAGTATGCCTCAGAGATAAAGCAGTAGCAGTATTTTATTTTTCTAGTTCTCTTTTATAGCTGGGGAGAACCTTCCTCAGTTTGGCAAAGTTACAATCTCCCAAAAGAATGACTAGGGAATAAGGATATGAATTTTCAGCCTCAGTGCTTTTCGCCACTAATTGTTGCATTCACATCCAGTGGTATTTAAACAACCACTAGTACAACAGCGGTGAATTCTCTGAAGGCCTGCTATTCATGATAGTTTATGATAATTTCTAATTCCCATTTCTAACTCTGGAGAGCAGTATTTTAGAGTACAACAAAGATTCTAGACCACAGGACCCGAGCATGATTGTTGATTCACACAGAAATAGACACCTCCACCTTTAAGCTAAAGTG